CTGGTATAATATTTGTCTTAGAATATGTTCTAATATCCATTTCATAAGCTTCAAAAAATGTCCCTAAAATTGGTCAAATTTCTAAAATTTTCTCCAGAGCTTACACTGTTTGAATCTCCATCTCAAGAATTTACACATGGTCTTCATTTTTTTTGCAACCGAATCCTCAAATCGTCTATATGTTTAATAACTCTATAGCTTAATTCAAACATTTGGAATCATAAAAAAAACATGAAATTCAATTCAGGTTGCACTCGTCTAACTTGTTCATTTAACACCATTAATCAGATTTTTAGGAGCTCCCATAACAGTTCAAGCTTCAGGATAGAAAAAAAGTAAGTCTATCACTGTTCTTTGTTATAGGATTTTAAAAACTTATTTTGTTGTAAGCAAATTTAATACTATAAAAACTTGTATAAACCGAAATACTAGCTATATCCCAAATAACTCCATTATTGGGTTATAAATTTCATATTAATATCGATTTACTGTCTTCAATGCGCCCATTTTAGAGAATGTTTTCTCGGGATTTATTTTTTACAGCAATCGTTACTTTTATATACAGAATATTTTTAAATACGATTCGAGAAAGTATGCAAGTACCTGTCGATCTATATATACATTAGCTTATTTTAAGACGTACAATGCAAAGAAGCTTCTATAAATGTCAAAAAGTGTATAAAACTTGGCAGAATTTATATTTTTAAAAATGTTTTTAAAAGTGAGGAGTAAATCGTTATAAAATTTAAATATTTACATTACGATTCCGATATTTAAAGGCTATAGAGATAATTATGTTTAACGTTTCTTTAATAATTTATTACATTAGTTAATACGTATTCGAATAGTTTAAAACACACATAAAAATATCTAGGACCCTACTATGAAGAGTATCAAACAATATAAAATGTGGAAGTATTTAGATAATTACAGAATAGAAAGTAATTAGAAGCTATAAAAGCTTTTTAATCAAACCTTTCGTGTTAAAAAACACGATTTTAAGAAAGATTGCCAGTAGAAATACATAAGTGATGCTAGAGATGGTGGTAAAAAATCGTCAAGACGGTCGTAAAAGAATCGTTTCGAAAATAAAATACCTAACTTATCATAAAAACGAGGAAATGTAACCATAAAATTGTCTGTTTTGTAAGAAAGAAAAAAAAACTCTAAATATTACCTCGTTAATATGAACCGCAATGTTACCCTTTGGATAAGTTTTCACACGAGAACCAAAAGAGATATTCATAGATCAATGGATTAATCTAGCTTCTACGTAAGTTATCTAACACGAAAGAAAATATAAGGTCATTAATCGTAAAAGAGTTAATAAAATTAATTTAAACTGTGTAAAACTTTATCACAAGCGATTTAAAAGTTTTTTTTACGAAATACATTCCAAATTAATTTGAATGTGTGCCAAATATTTCTCCTTTCTCTGTTTTTTCTTTTTTAAATTGACGTGGTGTATTGTACTGCACATTGCTAAAAGTTAACTTAAAAGAACACTTGACAAGTAACTTGAATTATCCTTATTCTTTTCTTCTTCTTTCAAGATTCATGTATGACTATAGTTACAGTCCTGTATATAGGCTACAATCATATTCCCAATCCTTCTATTAATTCTTTCTATTTTTAATAATACCCGTGTATATTCTTTCACAATATTACAATCGGAAGTAATTAAATCGTTGAATTATACTATAGATTTTATATGAAGTATATTTCCTCTTACATATGCTGGTAGTTAGTAGATATATTTCTGGTAAAGAAAGGATAAAATAGTTCAGAAAAATAATAAATTACATACAATTATTTGGAGTTTTTAAACGAATAAATAGCCTTTGTCTCTATGTCTACTTTACTGTTTATTTATGCATGCATTTTAGCACTCAAAAACAATGAAATTTGTGGATAAATAACAACAATTTTGACTCCGACAGAAAATTTTTGAAAGAATGTTAAACGGATCCAGTTCTATTCAAAAAATGATAATAAAGAGATACCCGATGCTGTAATCTCTTTTATTATTGGCATTTGATTCTTCTTCGTCGTCTCTCTTAGTAAAATGAGAATGGTGAATTTATTTCTATTAACTAAATCCTAAATCATGGTTGATTCTCGACTACAGTTTCTCCCCCTGGGACTTTCTATCTCTATAGTTATCACACAACTGCATCTCGATTGTGATGAGTAGCGGAGAAATTCGAGTATTACAGATTCTTCCAAATTCTCGGTTTATGTAAAGAAAAAGAAAAAAAAAAGGCAGAATTTCTTCTGTTTCCGTTAATCGTGTTTTCATATTTATTCAAATAAACTAACACTAATAAACGTTTAACTGCTGACGACATACCACGACATTTATTTACAGTGAGTTTACGTTTTTGATGTCACAACACAGTAAATTTATATCTCGTGTTACCGGGTTTATTTATAAATGACTGCATTCAAGCATAATATTTAACGAAAATAACTTATTAACTTAAATATTTCTATTATTATTAAATGGATAGGCAGAAGAAATCAGCCTATCGGTCTGGAGGAACCTAAAACAATTGACCCTTGACATTGATCCTTATTCTTTCAACCCATTAGATTTATTTTTCTAAGGTAATACGTAGTAAAACATGAAATACACTTAATTATAGAAAGGTTAATCAGAAACATTATAAAAACATGCAATATTAATTTGTGTGTTCAATGTAGTGAGACTCACAAGTTGTGTTTTCTACGTGTAAACATTTAAACCATTCTATATTTAGTATTTTATTTACAAAATTAAATAAACAGTTAAAAATACGAAGGTTATAAGTAAGAATATAAGTGCATTCTCTAGAACGTAATCCTATAAGCATCCGAGTTAACGACTTCGACTTTAGAAATTTACTTTAACGTTTGATTCATGTGAGAAGGAGGATAAATTCGTCGTCATAGAAACGGAAATTAGGGTAGGAAGTCTTTTTACTGAATTAAGGTATTCTTTGGACAAGATATATATTTTTTACACTAACGAACACTATAAGATTCCACGTGTCCTGCATTTATATAAATGACTTTTATTTTATCAATACGTAAAAGTAGCTTAATTGTTACATATATCTCTCTTATCAGATACACGAGAAACATTTGTTTCTCCTTTACAGCTACGTAATCATTGAATAAGTATTTAAACGACGTCTAGAAGAAACACAAGCTAAAGAGAACGTCATGCATTAGACAAAGAAATCGATTCTGTAATAGTAAAGTATTTTTTAATTATATTTTCAGGCATAATAATGCTTTCAAAAGTCAGTTATAATTAATTTTTAAGTTTATTTTATTTTTTTTAAAACGATTTCGATGTTAATTTAAGAAAAATAATTAATTAAACTATCTTATTTTCTCGGAAGTTATATTGTTTTGGATTTTTATGCACGTTTTGAGATTCTATATACAATTAGTAAAATTTATTTGCGAATCTAATGGTTCTCGTAGGAAGTTAATTGAAATACTGAATTAATTACCATTATTCACTCGAATCTAATAGAAATACAAAAGTTTAACGAGAGATAATTTTAAGTAATTTTCTTCTTTCAAACAGTAATTAGATACTTAATCTCATTCTCCCTCCCAATTCTCTATAAAACAGATAAAGAAGAGATAAAGTTGTTTCTTTCGCATTAAAAAAAAACAGAGATTTATATCGTTTTTATCAACCTTTAACATCAACACTTACCTTAAATCTTATTTTCTTTTACATCTACCCATTTCTTTCAAGACAATTTACATAGAATTTGTTAATGGACATATAAAAGAAAATATTTTTGCTTTAAGTATAATGTAATTATCATGATAAAGACTCAAATTTTAATAACTTATATAATAAGAGAGTATACTTATATATTGCTTATATAATAAGAGAAGTTAGATGAAGTTTTATTATGCCTCCAAGATCTTTGTAAACAAGCACAGAAAGAATTTCTGATGGAGAAAATTTAATTCGTAAGTTGTCTAAAGAGATATAATTTAAAATCTATGAGACTAATTTGATAATAATAACAATGAAATAACTTAATAACATCGACAGTAAGTTATATAAATCGATTTTTAGAATTGTCTATCAATAAAAATGAAATGCTTTCTAGTTTCATTCGTGCTTAAAGAGAAGTTGATAAACTGAATTTGGACAACTTTTGCACTTAGCCAAGTCTACAAAAAAAAAAATAAAATGTGAAATTTTATATCCAGAAAACTTTTTGAAAGATTTCCAATAAGAAATTCTACATTTTTCATTAAATTTTTCCATATCTTGAAAGGTAATGTACGTAACTTTAGAAGATGCTTTTCAAGCATCTAAAATTTGTCGTAACTAAATTATGAATCGTATATGAAGTAGAGAAATTCAATATTCATCTCCAAACTTCTGTTTCGGGATCAAAAGAAGAAGACGAAATTTTCGTCCAACAATAATTGATAAAAAAATTTCGTAAAAATGTAACATCTTTCGACGTTTGTGGAATAGTAAATTTTCTGCTTGGAAAACATAAAACACGTGTCGTTATAATAAAATATTTCGGATTATATCTGTATAATTTACGTTGTTCTTCGACATCGTAAAATTTTCTAATTAACTTATATAATTCAGTGAAAAAGCTATGAAACTTTACAATAAAGAGTTGTAAGGGTTTATAAAAAAAAATTACATTTCTATATTGTCTTAATATACTGATGAATAGATAGCACTAAGCTGATTAAATTCTCGTCACGGTTTACCTGTTCTATTATCTATAATTAGGAATAACTTGATACATTTATAAATAGATAATATATGTAGTCGATGCATCAAAATGTCTTTAGAACAATACGCTGGTTTCATTTTATTTACCTCTTTTGTCTGTCTGATTTCATGACAGGTAGTCTATACTTTGCGGAATAAACTTAATTCCTTACCGAATTTTAGCTTATATAATATTACAAAACTGTTGACATATTTAACTGAAAAGGTTAAGATTTACAGTAATATATTTTCGAAAAATAATCTTTTATTTGTACTAAAAATACGATTTTACATGGCTTTCATATAGTTAAAAACACGACAATTGAAAAATATACACAGTATAAGTATTAGAAACATGTTTTCTTTTTACAAAAGTTAATTAATATCGATGATTAATCACGTTTTACAGATGAATCTAATGAAGATAAGTTTGATATTTGTTTGTTTTATATCAGGTTTAAAATGATATTATATAAAGTTTATTCCCAAATTTGTATTTATAATGAGTTGAAACAGATAAACTTATTAAACTTCTCTAGCTTTCTGTTCGAACTTTGATCTTATTCTATCGAGATTAATCATACAGACAATTGTATTCGAGAAGTTTGTATTTATTCAATCACAATGCTGACATGAACTGATTTTCTGTAATTTGTAGAGATGAAAACAAACGATGAGAGAGATGCAGAATTCTAGATATTTTGCATTCTTAACTAGAAAAGATGACAGATCTTTCCTTTTTATAGAAGCCACCATAATGTTTGTTTGAATCCACCAGTCAATTCGCTCCATTCGTAAAATATACAACGTGCCGAATCATCTAGAGAGAAAGAAAAATGTATTAATTAAATCTTAATCGTACTTTTTATCCAATACGTTGCATTCTCACTTAACTGCACCGTCACCAATTGAGTGAGGAAATACATCTTTTATACGGTTCTGTGGGCAACTTCGTATTGTTTCATTTAATAGAAAAATATAAATGATAAACGGTGCGAAAGTAACGTAATATGAGAGTTTCTGCTCTATCTTTCATTAGTATTAAATACAAATAATTTCATCACATTTTTTTAATCTATTTTACTCAAATAAATGTATTATAGGCCTATACCATTTACTTGAAAAAAAATCTATAAAATCAAGTGTAATTCTCTTGTCTTTTGTATGATTTAAAAACTTAAAAAATAATAAACTGAGAAAAGCATAAAACCATTTATTGATGACATTTTGAGTCACTAGAGGGAAAATTGGCGTAGTTTTCTTCTTAGAAGATCTCCAGAAAAGTAAATAAGTGGTTGATCTCTGAGCGGATAATTCTATTAATTAAAAGAATAGAAAAAAAAATATCTTAAAAATTCTTATATTATAAATGATAAGAAAGAAAAGAAACTTACGACGGCGCTTAAATCTATTTCTACCATATCCACACTTCAATAATCTAAGGAATGCCTTTCGGAATTTCTTGTTGCAACCTCCATAAATAATAGGATTGAGGGCACTATTGGAATAGGCGATGAATGTGGTTATGTGGTTCATCTTGAGGAACCATGCTGGCTGCTGAATACAAATTAAACATAATTTAAAAGATAAAAGAAAGCTAAAATTCTAAATATAAACAATACATCAAACAATTTCTTAATTAACAATTATTAAAAGGGTATTTAAAAATCATATAAATGTTCTTTTGCAAATACGAGAAAAAGAATTACCGCATGGTTGTATCCAAATTGCGAATAGAGGACAATGACTTGGAGAGGCATCCAACACAATACGAAGACTAAAAGAACCGCACACACCATCTTAATCACCTGAAACACATTTAGAAATAATAAAAAAATCATGCTGTCCAGTGAAGATTAAGTAAGTAGAGAATCTATAGTAACAATAGATATTATTTACTTTCAGAATTTAAGATTAAGTTTATTGTTATAATTAAAAATTAAATATTTTATATTTATTAAATTTAAGAATATAATCACTATAGAAGAAAAACTATTAAAATTCTCATAATAAAGAAATTTGCTGTTGGAATTGTTTTTTTAACTTAAAATTAATTGAAAAGCGAAGGTTGTAATTGCATTTGATTTCTTCAAAATTAACTTATCTATAAAAATAGACATACATTGTATTCTTTTAAAGCAAGTTTAGAAAGAACAACGATTTTTTTAGTGTAAATGCAACTAAATTATAGTTTCTGATCTAGCATCCTCCTATTACTTTTGAAGTCATTTAGTTACATTTATTCGCCAGATAAGTAACATATTTTCCGAAGTTTTGATTGTTTTAACACACAAAGAGTACAATGCAAATGGAACAATGTTAATTTATCAATACAAACGAAGAAATTCAGATAGAGTTATTATGAAAGTAATAAGAATCAATAGAGAAAGAATTGAAGTCATTTAAACAGATGATAACAGTAGCCTAGATGCTTTTAATCCTCTAAATAAAAGGCATATACAGTCGACCCCCCTATAACACTGTTGATTTTTTCCGTTTTATATGAATTCCATGTTGTACGAGTCACTTAGATTTTACAAATACGTGTGCCGGGCTGTGAACGGTGACAGTATCGATGGATTATGTATTAAATAACACTACAAATATTGTAGTTTTAAGTAAAAGTAAGCGTAAAAACTAGTTTTCTATTCGTAATTTTAGTTTATTTATAAAATTCCTTGATAGAATAGCAATTTTAGGATAAAAATTAAGATTATTAACATAGAAATATACTTTTCCTTTGATTGTTCTTCTATTAGGAACGTCTTTTCTGTTCTTTTATCCTTAAATACAAAGGAGAGAAAACTATAAATCATTGTGAAACTTTCTAAACTTATAATTTTGTCATTTATTTTCATCAATGAACGTTCCAGACAAATTTATCACTGGAGGAACTCAACACAAACGAATAAAGAAAATAATAAAATATTAGTTACGAAAGAATTCAGGTTTTATATGGATAAGATAATGCATTAAATACATTATATATAAGCTTTATTCATATATTTATAATCATTTATGTTAAAAGAATAATAAACAAAGTGTATAATTTCATTTAAAGAAAATAAATAGGACTACAAATTATAGAAATCATCTCAGATAAAACTTTTAACTTTATTCCATATTTTTAAATTAACAGTTAAAGAGAAATGATATTGAAAACTCGTTAAAAATAATCAAATTTTTAACGATTTTACAAGTTTTTTTTTTAAAAAAAATATTATTTATAAATATAAAAAGCAAGGCAATGGGGAAAAAAAAAAAAAACAAATTTTATTTTCTATTGTTGATTGAATAAAGTTACAGTTTTGATGATCTTATAAAGATTTATAAGTTTTATCGAGCATCTTATATAGAATTTTCAAGTTTCTAAATCCATTTTTCAATGTTTTTATTTTTTTTTATCTTTACGTAAATATAAATCTATAATTGAATTTAAATCATAAAATTCAGAAAACAAATAAAAAAAAAGTTAGTACTTTATAGAGAAAATTTTCCATTTAAATCTAATTTTATAAACTTGTAAGAAGCTTCATTAGAGTCATTCATATTTTAGACACGTTGGTGATGTCTTAGAAATAACAAGACAATTAAACAGTTTCGATAAAGTGAATACATTTCGTCTTCTTTACAGTAGAAGGAACATTTTAACGAACTCTGACATTTCGAGTTGTCAATTTTATGAATAGAACAATGCCTCTGTTTACGCATTTTAAACATTGTTAACATTAAAACGTTTCACATGGACAATATTTGCTTTAAATCGTAATTAAGGAATTAAGACTCGAAAGCATTCTATCGTTAGTAATTTAGTTTGAATTACGAAGCATACAGATTCAGAAATATACATACTTAGTACTTAGAACTATGCTAAAGACTTCATATTTTTATTTATTTTTTAGAAAATTATAGAGTTAATTTACAGATTCTTTACCATTCATGTGTAGTGAATCCGAATCTAATCAAAGATACACCTTACTCATCTTTAGAAGAATGGAAATCATTATCTACTAAATGATAACTGTATTTGCCTATTTCCCACATACATTACACATTTTTATATTTACTGTACACTTTTTTGAAATTCTAAACATCAGTTTACGTTAACAGACTTTTGCCAAAATGTTAAAATATTAATAAATAACTTAATGTCAACTTGGATGTAGAATACTTGTTGCATTGCCAATTGATGATGATTTAAGTTATCTTTAACGTTATGTTTGAATGTAATTTGTTTACGTTAGTGAAACTTTATATTTAAAATTATCTCTTCTATCATCTGAAATTTACTAATCATATGTTATTTATAGAAAGTTTTATATAAAATTTTATTAGCCTGTACTTTATTTCTTTATTTAATATTTTACCTCATCCATATAAAGAAATTCGCAATATTCCAATAATTTCGCCTATAAAAAGAGATACATTTTGTGTTATTTTTTTAACTCTGATCAATAAATTTTATACAAAGAAACTTCAAGAATAATTTTCTTTTGTTAATAGAGATATACTTAAGAAATAATTAGGTTTTACGATAAAAATAAAACTGTTTTAGTGTAATAAAACACGAGAAACCCATTTCAATTCTTCTTTTCCTAGAAATTTATGGATGAATGAAAAGCACTTTTTTTTACTCTCCCTGGATAATGAAATCGTCTTAAAAAAAGAATTAAATTTCTTGACACTTCTATTGAGTTTTTAACAAGATTATTTCTATTCGATTGTCATCATTAAATAAAGAATGATATCTTATTAACTGTTTTCAGAAACTCGAGAATCTTTCAACAGAGCATTCTGTACTTGTAGAGAATTTTTGAATTTTATGAATTTAAGGGTCAGAAAATGATCCCTTTCCTCAAGATTTTTACATTTTTGTACAAAATCGAGAAATGCAGAAAAATTCTGGGGTTTTTTTTTCTGTACGTATGAATATTAGTGTGTGAGGGGGCACGATTTTATTTACCCTCTTTGAAAGCTTAATAACGCCTATACTTTATGTCAAAAATTTATGAAATTTGACAAGAAAGTTTGTTTATTATGAGAATTGATGCTATTAAATTTTGATGATTAAAGGTCAAGGGGATGGTGAGATAAATAATGTATCTCAGTAAAGATTATTTACTTCCATTACAAAATACGTCGTCACAATGCCTTTTATTTTTTGATTATATTCGAAAAACACACATTACTTGTTGGTTGTTTATCAATTATCTTTTCTATTATACTGGAGAAGCAAAAATCTATCAGCATTCGGTTGGATTGATCTCTTATTTCTACTCTTGTTTAGGAACAAGTTAAGAGGATTGATCATATAGAATTTAATTTCTTTGTTATATCTATTATCGATGATTTTCGAACATAACTTTCTTTTATTTTCTTAATCTATGCAAATGTAATAACCCGTAATAAATTCGTCCAAATATATAAAGTTCATTCGAGCGAACATAAGAATTTTCTACATATTTCTGAGTTTTAAACTTCGGGAGATTCTTTGAAACATTGCATATAAATGAGCGAATTTATATTATACATTGTAGATTTGTAATTGAAATACAATCCTATAATTTATGGAAGAAAAAAAACAATAAATTAAACAAATGGACAAATAATATAATGCATTTTTTTCAAATGGAAAAAAGGAAAATTCAGAGTAATGTACTTGAAAGAAGAAAAGATAAATACTTAACAGACAAATTGAAAAAAAAATATATATATATTGTTAAATTAATTATATAAAACGAGTATTCATTCGAATGTAAATCTAGAATTTACATAAGAACAAAAACGAGGAAAATCATAAAATAATTCATCCGTACTTAATCCTTGTTAAAGCTTCCGTGACAAAATTAATAATTAAATATATTCCCAAATTTTTTTAAAAAGGAGAACGTATTAGAAGAGGAAATAAACGAGAATTCATTAAAGAAAAATTAATTTTCCTCCTTTAAACTATAATTGCGAAGAGGAAGAAGAGTAAAATAAATCACCGAAGGTTATCACTTTAGAATAAATATCATTTATAGAATAAGTTTCACTCGACATTTCTGTATAAAAGTTTCATGAAATTTTATCGTTTAATTTCTTTAATAAGTTCTATTAAAACTTTTAGTTTAGATTGTAAAAATATATAATAAAATATACTTTTGATTACAAGTGATGCAGTTTGGGAGGAGGAATTACAAATGGAAGAGCAAAGTGGAATATTTTTTTTTACCGTAGAAAAATATTTCCACAGAACGAATCGAGCAGAAAATGCTCATCTCAAATCTATATTCATGAAATTTCCGGAGGAACAATTTTTCCTTCTTATCCGTCGATAGCCAATGATCTTTCCGAATTAAAATCGGAAATGCCTCCTCAATAGGATAACGTTGCCAAGAAACAACCTTTCCGATTGTTCTGTAGTTATTCATTCGTTAATAATACTAAAATAGAAGAGTAGAGAAGAAAATCCTTTTATTTTTTTTTTATACATAATTTCTAAATATGCACACATTTTGCCTCAAGAAACAAAACAGCAATGATTAAGCTTAAGTCCATGTGTCTGAAAGTTATAACAACTTGTAAGTTAAATTGTATTTTCTTATACATATTTTATGTAAAAAAACAATTTCCCTATTCTGAGAAATAACAGAAAAACTGTGGTAATAAGGACACACAAAAGAAAATTTGGAAGAAAGAATAAAATAAATTGTTTCAGATTCTTATAAGTATTAAAGTCATTCTATTTTGATAATTATTAATATCATTAACATTTGATAATAATAATAATTAATTTACAGTTCGCAATGATTTCAAATATCTGTATATTTATTAATAATAGCTTTTAATTATTTCGCTTCAGGAAATTAAAGTTTAAGTAAATTTACTTTATGCACTTTTTTTATTCTCTCGTGTGTTAAAATTTTAATACAATTTCTATTTACTTATATTTCTTTATTGAATATTCAAACTATTTTAATGAAAAATAAACAATTCTATTTAATTAAGATTATTAAAACAATCAAATTTTCTATTCGTTTTCTATTCTAATTATGTTTATTGAATAAACAGAATTTTGGTTATAATTACATTGGATTTTTTTTCATTTACAAACAAGAAATTTCTTCAAATATTCAATTAAAATGAATAAACTTATTTAAATTCAGTTTTGAAAAGATAAATATTACAATATAATTAATTATTTTGCGTTACAAGAATATATAATACACATGCAAATAACGAATAATCAAAATTTAATTTCAATTATGTAAATATTATACGTATAAATTTATAATTAATCTATGTATATTAGAAACCAAATACTTTCTAATTGCTTTTTTATCTCTATATATATGTAAAAAGCAATTAGAAAAAGGAATTTTGTAACAGCGATAGCATCAACCTACACACGTAGTGTGTAGGTTGATGCTATCGCTGTTACAAAATATTGAAATATTAAAAGATTTTTTTCATAAATTTAAACAAATTAAAGTGAAATTTTTAAAATATATTTTAGTAAAAGAAATTAAATATTTATAGGAATTTGATGGATCGTCCTAAATCAATTGATAAACAAATTACTCGATAGATCACTGAAAAAAAGTCTTTTTTTTTAATAATTTAAAAGAGAAAGTTAAAAATAATTTCAAGTAAATAGTGAGAAAAGTTTTAAAAATAATTAGTTTCCACTCTTACTTTCATTAATACAATAGGAGAGAAAAGGACTTCATATGTCACACTATTGTCGTGTAAATACAGTGTAAAACTGTGAATTGCTCTTTCAACTGATTACAAAATTGAATAGAAGAGGTGCCAAATTTAACCTCTTTTTACTTCTTTAATAAATTATTAAGAAAATTAATCAATCTTAATTAGAAAGTTTTAACATTTCTATATAGTATACGTATAAATGAAAATAATGGTTATTTATTAGTTCTTACTTTTTTCTTTGCTCTGTATTGTGCATTAATATTAGCTATATTCTTCTCTCCGGGGAGTTCGTTCATCCATAATTTCCAGATAACGAGAAAATACGAAGTACACATAATGAAGATTGGTAAGAAGAAGAGAGCAACCGTAACGAAGCTATAGTAGATCTTCTTTCCCTTGACTATTTTAACACATTTTCTTAAATCTTCTGAGTAAACGTCTTCGTAAGGCCAAACGTCTCTACATTGAATCTCCAAGAAATCTCTCCACTGAAAAAAAAGAGGCATTCAATTTCGTAAAAATCTGATTACACAATAACAATTTCAAGCAATCTCGAGATATTTAAGTTGTTGAAATACACACGATCACTTTTATATCCCTACTCCCTCCATCATTAATTACTATAATTGAGTAGCATCAATCCCCCTAAACATATAACGTCCATACATACAATAAAGGTGCCCTGAGTCCAAAAAATGTAAAAATCTCTAGGGGAATCATTTTCCCTCCGTTATAGGGGAAAGTAAAAAATGAGATATAAAAGTCAAAATTCGAATTTCAGCGTGAAAATATTCCTTTCACCTGTCTTTCGGTATGAGTCCTGTAGAGGAGGAAAGGGATGGAAACCATCATTGAGACGATCCAGATAACTGCGATGACGGCTCCTGTCTTCTGTTTTGTGATCCTGACGTGAAGGGGGAACATGACAGCGACGAATCGATCGCAAGATATAGCAGAAAGAGTCAAGACACTTGCCGTCAGACACGTCACTGCAAACATATAGAAAAATTATTCTAGAATAATTTCCGTTATATACGTAGATAAATATAACTTTCTAGAATATTTTACGTATTAAACAGATAATAGAAAAGTAAATTTTCTATTAATTTCTTATCACAGATTGATTTTCTAGAATATTGTACGTATTAAACAGAGTTATTATCACAGAGTGATTTTTATTAATACAAGTCGACCCCCCTATAACACTGTTGATAATTCCGTGTTATATGAATTCCTTGTTGTACGAGTCACTTAGATTTTACAAATACGTGTGCCGGGCTGTAAACAGCTCACGTATTTGCAAAATCTAAGTGACTCGTACAACATGGAATTCATATAACACGGAATAATCAACAGTGTTATAGGGGGGTCGACTTGTATAAAAAATCGTTATACGATTTCACGTAATGCTATCGAGATTCTTTATCATCTAGCAAATATTTAATAAATTAAATAATCCTTTTATTAAATTTAAAAAAAGTAAATTATTTAAAGAGTAGAATTTCGAATAAACAAACAAAAGTTGAATAGAAATTTTAAGAAAAATTTCAAAAATAGAAAATTTAATCAGAGAAACAATTTCTAACTCGTCTTGCTTAAATTCCAAATCAGCAGATGCGGGTTCAGTTATTAAATTACTTTAGAGAAGTCAAGTTTAGAGAAAAATTTAAAGCACGAAACAACATAACTCGAAAAATTCCTCTTTCTTTTTTATATATCAAGCCAATTTGTGACAGGAAAAATAGAATTGACGACATCAAAATTATAGAAAATGCCATTGGGTTCGTTTAAATTTCGTAGAAATTACAATTTTCTCTTCATTCTCTGAGGAATGTTTTACTTTTTTTTGTTGTTGCTCAATTTATTTTGATTCCAATTTTATCTTCTGATCTGATAGGATGTTTGAAACAGTTTTATTGAAAAAAAAAACAGGAATTTCCTTTCGTTTATATTGTTAAATTTTTGGGCGTGTAATTGTTAGAAGTAGGGTCTAAAAAACAACGTTAAAATGGTATTAAGACAGATAAACTCTAATTAAAAACTTCTCTTTCTCTAATCAAGTTACGCCAACAAGATTCTTAAATTAAACTCGTGTACGTTAAGCAACTCGGATTATCTTGTTTCGTCATAAAATACAGTAATTTGCTTCTAGAAAGTAATTTAAACCTTTTTTTTTATTAAAAAAAAGTAGTTAAAATGATAGATAAAGCACTCTTTTAACAGTACTTAAGTTACATATTTAAACATAAATTATCATAATACCCTTGGAGTTATCAGAGTTATAGACGTGTTCGAAAGAATTTATTATCACTTTAAAGACTTTCACACAATATTTTTATTATTATTTTGTATTTATTCAGTTTTAAATTAATTTTATAGTTGTTTTTTTATATGTAAAAAGTAGAAAAGTAGTGTATTCAATGCATGTCATCGGTACAGGAGTGTATTTTATTATATATTTTTTTCGTTTATAGTTTTGAAAATTTCAATTCTACATTTAATTTTCTGCTTATATTCATGTTTAAAAAACAAAACAAATACAAAAGCACAAACTAAAAATGACGTATTTAATCTGTATTTGGCATACACGACATACCGGAGAAACGGGGAAAAAAAGGAATAAGAACTACAAAAATAAATAAATAAATAAATATTCTATTGAATCTTTTAATTTTTTAAATAATTTAAAATACAATTTACGATTATTTCAATATCATAAAACAGTAATACAGTTTTCTGATAGTGTAATAATAACACTATAATTTACAGGCTTTCAAGTCCAAGATTCGTGTTTATATTGGAATAATCTGAATAATTTTTAACTTTATGTGTTAAAAATCCCATAATATTTAACAGTTTTATAAATTAAAAGTGAATAAATATACGTAATTTTTTAAACGAAAGTGAAAAAGTATGGGTGTTAATTGTAGCCTGCCATTGATTATGGCGGATCACATTTACGCCCATTAAAAGTAAATCCTATCCTCAATTGAGTGACCAGCATTTTTTAAAGATGGGAAATATATTTAGCATAGTTTATTAATAAATACTTACATAAACTACTTAAAATTTTCATTAAGCTTTAGAATAATACGTGGTATAGAACTCCTACTAGAAAATTGTTAAAAGGTTTGGAGATTAGAGAAATCTTCATGAATTTTAATAACGTGTAATGAAGTAAGATGTAAACTAAATTCCCTATTCAGTTTGTAAGCTTTAGTCTTGATTTTACCTTTTGTTTTAGCTATACGTTCTACCACACAGACGATTAACGAAACGTGTTACATGGACGATTTCTAGGATATCACAAAGGCATATCGAAACTTTAATGACAATAAAATCAAATTTAAAAAGTATATAAACTGTTCTACAACATAATTTGTATGCTCCTTTAGAATAAAGTACACCTTCTAATACACCTGTATTATATTTCGTTAAAATAACTTGAAAATACAAAAAAATAAATAGTAAAACGAATTATAACTGAAGCACTTTACAATAGAAGTAAACGACAAAAGAGATAAGAAATAAAAGCAAGATTAAGATCCAATTGCATTTAAGCAAAATGGAAAAAATGATAAAAGTATTGACAACGATAATCCGATAAATCTTTCTATTGATAAACAACCTGAAATAGCGACATTTTTATATATAAAAAAAACTTTCAAAACTTGTTTCCCGTTTACAGTATTTAAGATTTTAACTATTTGATCTTTAATTATAGACTTAGTTCTAGGAAAAAGAATTAATACAATACTTTAGACTGTTGAGATAAAAAATAACCAATAACTTTATTTATTAAGTTGAGAATAATTCTGACTACGAAAATTCATAAAATTTATCAGAATCTTAATTAAAATACATAAGATTCTCTTGATATTTTATAAAGATTAATAGGAAAAGTGTAGTATTAATCACTTGTAAGCATAGATTCTAACAAAAGGTAGACTTCTATTCTCTTTATTTGAATCCATTTTAACATTAAAATGTAAATAAGAAAAATAAACTAAGATATTTCATTGTTGTTAATATATTTCATTGTTAAATATATTCTAAATTTATATAATAGATAATGAATCTAAGATATTTCAACATTCTTGGATTTCGAATGAGAAAATATCGAAAGATATTGACCGATATAAAGTGGAAAACCAATTTTAAAGCGAGATAGAGAAAAATCGTTGAGGCAGAACTCGATATAAAAAGAAACTTTGAAAATCGCATTATAGAATGGAAAGGTCTTCTTATACATGATATTTATAAAAGAATAAGATGAAAAAATTCAGTAGTATAAAGTCGGACAATGACACTTCTATATCCAACAACGGGGGTGATTGGTTGACATTAACTCAATAAGAAAATATATCCGTAGAGTTATATGCATTGTCGCAACTCTTGTGACAAAGAAAAGAAAATATTCTTATTCCTTCTCATTAATCTGAAAAATCCCACAAGAAATCTCAACCGAAATGCAGTTTGAGATTGTATTTCTTTCTAAGAACAAAACAAGTATGTAGTGTTTCGTATAAAAATGGCAGACGGTATTATATACATTACAAATATATACACATAAAAATGTCTTTACATATCCGTCCTATTCAATCACCGGGAAACAAACAATCTTGCTTCACAGAGACTATCTTTTATTAGAGGTTATCGTCTACCATTTTTAATTGAAACAATGTATATTTATGAAAGTTTTAATTAATATTTGCTTAATTTTACAGAGTCGTAGCCTCGAATATAAGGTCGTCTCTGTAGCAAGAGGGTTTGATTCCTGGTGATTGAACGATTGGGTATGTGAAGACGTTTTTTTTTAATGTATGTATTTTTAAAGTAAATATTGTTTGACATAATAAAAACTTCACCTTTCCTACATTAAATGAGTACATTTATACAACTTAAAAACTTTTTTTTTAACATTTTCCGATAAGATATTACTAAATGCTTCTATACTTACTCGTTAGACGAATTTAGATTTTAATAAAATAGAAAATAAAAAGAGAAATAAATGAAAGAACGTTTAATATTTATTTTATTTCGAATGTTAAATTGACTTTCGATATAAATAATTATGTAGTGAACACGCTGTTATATCGATCAAAGCGAGTATCGATCCCTAAAATGATTTTCTTGTTCCGTTGAATGTTGAAACTGAGAAGTGATTCGACGATTATTCACTTTATTTTTAATTATCTTTTGTCAGACACTAATTATTCGAGCGAGAAAAGTTAAAACATAATTATATTCTCCCCTCCTCAAACAGATACTATGACATTTCTGGAGTTCTGGAACGATATATAAACTTATTCTTGAAATAATACAATACGTAAATTAGGTAATTTTTTTGTATTTTACATATGAAGAAGTATCCAATTTTAATAAATTTTCTGTTGTTTTATAAGAAAAAGTACATTAATGTCATTCAAAATGGTAAATCGTTATGTATAGTACGTCATTTAGAAGTTCATACAAATCTTTGACAATAGTTTAAAAATTCAAAACAAACAAATAAATATTTGCTTGTTTGTTTGAATTGTGTCGATCTTAATATAATTTTATAGAGATTTTTCTGTTTGAAATTAAAATGAATCCTTCTAATATATATCTTTAAAAGGAAAGATCTTTAAGTAATTCAAAATGAATATCTAAGCTAAACTTTTTTTCAGGTTAATCTAGTGTCACGCTATGTTTTATACTAGAAAATATAATTTGTTTACACTGCAATGAAAAGAGATAAATATAGAAATTATTTTGGATTTTTAAAGTAGTAGTCTATTTTCGTACTGTAATAAATACCGAGATAGACCAGATAAGAAGTGATATTACACAAGAAAGAATAAAAAAAAAACTAAGACTTACTTTTGCTGAAAATTTCGAACTTGCACATAATTGGACCTAATAAATATTGATGTTTGTTTTGAAACATGCGAACGACATGTAGTGCCATACAGAAAATGGCGATAAATACATCGGCAGTTGCCAGATTCATCAAGCATTTTCCCGTCGTATTCTTAAAACAAGGATCGAAGAAACCGGTTAGAATTACTAAAATATTACTTCCTATTGTCCAAGAGATGAGAACGATGCACAAGACAAGTTTAAGATAATCCGACCACACAAAAATCACTTCTTTATCTCCCGGAAAAGTTTGATTAATCCAAAACTTCACTTCGCTAAAATTATCGCATTTCGAATCCATTTCGACTCAATACTCGAACTACACTTAGAACAGATGAATGAAAATGTCGGCTCGATGCCAACTGGCGAATAGTAGTTTAATCCGTACCTATAATAAGTAGGACGAAAGGAAAGAGATCTCGGGTACGAGACAAACACGTGGATGTAGAAGTAAAAAATCTCCGAATGTGTTCAAGGACGAGAATTAATGACGTTTATAAAAACACCGCTTTGTTTTTTTCTTTAAACTACTTTAGAAGTTGCTACCAGATATACGCTGTCCTGTAATACAACAAGTCTTTTTGATGTCGGGAACGGAAGCTATCGAGTGTTGTAAATACACTCGACAAATTATATACCAAAAATAACTCCCACCGAACAATTTTGGAAATAAAAAAACGTATTCGTTGTATATTAACCGGAGAGGATGACAAAGTAATAATAATGATAACACGAAACACAAGCAACTTAATGTATTCGGAAGGCGATAGCAGCTGCATATTTTCATTGAGGTTATTCCTGTCCACACTCCAAAATAGATATTAAAAAAAAAACGAATACGATATTTTAATCATTAAATTCATCGATGAATTTCTTTCTATATTATAAAGTAAACGATTCCTTCTCTACACGAACAGTTTTTATATTAATACAACTATAAAAACGTTAGTATAGAATTACGCTTACACTCCGATGTAGTCGAATAAAGGAGTAAACAAATGTAACATTATTCATCAAAAGGAGTTTATAATTGTATAGAGGCTAACAGTATTATTATAATAACTATTTAAATGAATTATAAATGGACAAACAATTAGAAATTTCCTCCATTGATTTACGTGTCAATGATACTTGTTATAAATAAGTTTAATTCTACACGTTCGTTCGAAGGATGAGTCAGAAATAAAGAAAAAGTGATCAATAATGATGTCAGCAATTATTATAATTATTATAAAACGTAAGATAACAAAATCTTCTGTAGAAAAATTCTTCTAGAATGTAAGATATTGCCTATATTTTCTACAGTTTTATTCTTTGTAGTTTTTAATTTTGTTCACATCTGCTTTCTGTTATGTATTATATTTTTACAGTAATAAAAATTACTTTTTTAAAAATGTATTTATAATATATTAATTAAGGAAGTATGAAAAGGTTGAAGTAATACTTATGTAACGTAATTATTATTTTTAGTATGTTTGGAAAAGATCCTGTTGATCACAACTCAAAGGGTCTTAGAGATGAGATCGATAGATAATTAAAAAGGAAATTGAACTTCTATATAAAGATATAGAAGTTCAATTTCCTTTTTTAATAGTGGCGAATGGCTAATGTAAAAGAAAAACACGAATAAAAGAGATAGAACAGAATAATTTCTGTAGAAAAAGTAAAGAATATTTAAGTGAGAGTGAATTTTGAGAATAATATTTTAGTTTTTATTTATTTATTTTGAACAATTTAATTAAATTATTAAATATTAAATTCAAACTGAGGTACAGTACAACACACCCAACAATTATAAATTCAAATTTAGTATTAAATTGAATCCATTAAATGAAAGAATATTTATAAAATAATTCGTGATATATATGAAATTATTTTTATTACATAATATTTAGTACTGTTTAAATATATTCTTCATTCTTTCTCTTGATTTCTCTTCACACTTCGAAATAATTCATTAAAATTTTAAAATTTAAACATTTATTCTTAAGCACGCAATAAAAACAAAATAAAATTAATGATTACGACTTTAGAAATCTCAAATTTGAGAAAATAAAGCATAAAAAAATAATTAATTAATGTAAAAAAAAAATATTTCTTATTCTTTCTTAATCTTTTCAGTTAATTCTTATTAGAAATCTTTGTTTTGAATGTATTTGAATGTTTTTAGGAATTATTTAACTTTAAAAAACTTCTTTATAAAATCTTACTAATTAATTCTAAAAGTAATTAATAAAATATAAATGATTTATTGTTTTTTTTTCTCTTAAATTTAATTCGAATTCGGGTATTTTCTACACTCTCATTCATACAATCTATCTATAATATCATAATATAATAGCAAAACAACATTAAAAATTATATACCAGTGGACCCCCCTATAACACTGTTGATAATTCCGTTTTATACGAATTCCATGTTGTACGAGTCACTTAAATTTTACAAATACGTGTGCCGGGCTGTGAACGGCTCACGTATTTGTAAAATCTAAGTGACTCGTACAACATGGAATTCGTATAAAACGGAATAATCAACAGTGTTATAGGGGGGGTCGACTGTGAAGGTAGAATATAAATTATTAATAAAGATATTCACGAAAAAATATATATAATTAAGATTCGAGAAACACTTCAAAATAAAATGGGTGTCGTCATATTTGTCCTTGTCACTCGGAAAGGTCTAATTATTTTGAAGCTTTTCTTCTCTTTAATACTAAAAACTTGTCTAAAAAAATCTCTCGAAAACACCCTTTTTATTGTGGAGTGTTTCTGTGAATTTCAATTATATATTTAAAGAATAATTAATCATTATTCTCGAGCGATTGATTAAGATTCTAATTAAACACGTTTAGTAAAATATAATGTTTTTCTATAATTAGAATGTAGAGAATGAAATAAAAAATACGTTTTTTTTTTCTTTTTGTTGTTAGTTTTATTAAATTAATTTAATTTTCTGTTTGTTATTCTTCAAGTGTACAAAGAATAGGGTGTGCGATTCAATATCTGAACGACAAAGTTGTTTAATTAAATATGAAAAATCATAAAGAACTGTGATTTTTAAAAGAGTTACATTTAGATTGGTTATTTTTCTATCTTATTTTTAAAAGAATTCGACAAGTCTAATTAATATAACTAAGAAAATTCATTAAATATACAGCAGAATAAGTGCTTGAAGAAGGAAGATTGTGTAGAAGTAATAATAATAATAATTATTATTATAATTTTCAATGTAAACTCATTCAAAATGGAAAAATAAAAATACTCTTAAATTATATTAATATTTTTATAATTAAAAAATAAAACTCCCTCAATGCTTTCCTTTGTGAAATCTTTATTTTGAAACTAAATTTGATACGAATTTTAGATTGTTTATGTTATTTGTAGTATATATTCACTATAGAAGAGTCTAAGAAAAAGAAAAATTTCTTTAAACATTTTAATTTTCTACCTTTTATTGAATGTAAAATTTAATTTAATTAATAATAATTTTTATTATTAAATTTTATGAATTTGTTATCGTAACAGCTTGAATTCTGCACGAATACTCCATCTTAATTCTAGGAATCTCGAACGAGTTGAATGCTAATATGTTCTACGAATATTTAATTTAATTTAAACGATAACTTTTAAACGGATATTTCTATAATTAACTCTTAACCCTGCGTAAAGCGCGCCAAAGATTGACGCACAGTTGTGCGCGCGGGGTGCTATATAACCCTCGTGTTCAAAATTCAATTTTTCAAAACTCATAGTTTTTTTCGCGATTTTTTCATTTTGGATGTTTGTGGGCATGTGTTTTTGATGTATTAGTGAAAAAAACTACTTCAAATATATCGATTTTATTTATTCGTGACGAAAAAACAGAAAGTCCCCGTTTTTAGAAATTTTTCAAAAAAAATTGGTTGACTTCAAGAGTGTATTTTACAAACTGTAAACAAGTCTGATGCTATCTAAGCTGTCAATCGTCTTCCTGCATGTGTTTTCTAACTATTACAACAATTAAATTTTTTGTACGAAGCCCCGGGCCAAAAATATCTCAATATTTCCAAAAAAACACCATGTGAAATCACACAGCAAGTAGAGGTAAAAATGGAGATTATTGGCAGATAACATCTATAGTNAAGAAGGAAGATTGTGTAGAAGTAATAATAATAATAATTATTATTATAATTTTCAATGTAAACTCATTCAAAATGGAAAAATAAAAATACTCTTAAATTATATTAATATTTTTATAATTAAAAAATAAAACTCCCTCAATGCTTTCCTTTGTGAAATCTTTATTTTGAAACTAAATTTGATACGAATTTTAGATTGTTTATGTTATTTGTAGTATATATTCACTATAGAAGAGTCTAAGAAAAAGAAAAATTTCTTTAAACATTTTAATTTTCTACCTTTTATTGAATGTAAAATTTAATTTAATTAATAATAATTTTTATTATTAAATTTTATGAATTTGTTATCGTAACAGCTTGAATTCTGCACGAATACTCCATCTTAATTCTAGGAATCTCGAACGAGTTGAATGCTAATATGTTCTACGAATATTTAATTTAATTTAAACGATAACTTTTAAACGGATATTTCTATAATTAACTCTTAAATTAAGTAGAAATTTCGCATCATATTTATTCTAATGGAGAGTTTTATTAGTAGACTTTTATTATTGAATGCTTGAAATGTATCAATTCAACACGATTATTTCCTACTAATGAGTATTTTTTTTTAAATATAAACTATTAAAACACAAGAACAAAGCAAACTAATATTTTTAACGCCTAAGTTCTTAAGTGAAACCTATAGTAAGATATAAAACAATATACGCATAAGTATAGTGTAAAGTCCCGTTTACACAAGACATCAACACTTTATACACTATAAAACCAGCCTCAATTTACATCTAATGTGGGCGATACGTAACCCATAATGAAATTCTCCTATTATAATTTTCCTATGTCAAAATATATGATCATTCAAATTCGGTCCAAGGCAATTTTAGAATGCATCAATAACACATTGTACAGTATGTTTCAAATACAGTATGAAAAGCTACAAGTAGGGGAAAGTCGCTAATATAATTCTGTGTTCAATTAATAAAATATATCGACAATTGAGAAGTAAAATACACCAGATATTCATAAAATCAAGCTATTAAAATTGTCATTTGTAACTATACTTCTTATCTTCACCACAATGCAATCATTCCACCCAATGATCACGTTAAACAATCGATAATACAACCAAAATGATTAAAGATAATGAAGAGATTTCATCCAGCAGCATCTCTATTATCTCTAATTATTACAGTCGATAGAGACGACGAAGTAAGTTACGCTTATTACGATTTTATTTAATGATGCGAAAATTTATAAAAGATTTTCTGTGATAAATACAGACTTTTAGATAAACGATGAAAAAAATAATGGTCAAAGTCAGTAAATTTTTAGCAGGCAACCGTTGGTCAAAATCACAATTAAATTTCTATTTACATCAAAATCCAGAGAACGACACTGAGTCAATAAACTCAATTTCTGTACATGAAACATTCTAGAATTTAATAGGATTATCAGATTAATGAATGATTCCTTATTACTTATTTTATATGACAGATAATCAATAACATCTGCTAGGGATTTTACAAATAATACATTTACAAATCACTTTTTAAACGGATCTCATTTCAGTCCTTAGGGGATGTGTTCGTTTTCAATGACGTGCCTGTGTTTTTCGCCATGACATTGACGATCACATTCTTTGTAATCTTATACAAGTCGACCCCCCTATAACACTGTTGATAATTCCGTTTTATATGAATTCCACGTTGTACGAGTCACTTAGATTTTACAAATACGTGTGCCGGGCTGTGAACGGCTCACGTATTTGTAAAATCTAAGTGACTCGTACAACATGGAATTCATATAACACGGAATTATCTACAGTATTATAGGGGGGTCTACTGTATTTTTTATCTGTAAAATACCATGCAAAATTTTGAGATTTGTATACCCATATCATTTGAAAACTGAACAGTGAATCGAGTACAAGAAAGTAATTTATCGATAAAATATAAGAAAAAACACGTACAATAACTTACCAATGTTATTATTAATTTCGCATGCACACTTCTAAAGAATGCTGTAGGAGTTTGTTCACATGGAATACAAAGAACAAGGTGTATCAATAGTAACAAGGAAATATAATTGTTTCATTTAAGGATCTGTTTTCTTGTATATTTTTCTACTTACGCTTTACACAGAATAGACCATTTTAGACTTTTTAAAACTACTTCTGTGTAAATTTTTAAAAAATTTTTTGCAGGAACCGTAGATCAATTTATGTAGGAAAAAATAGTAAACTGAGATTTTGTAGCATTCTATTCGTTATATAAAACAAATGATATTTTACCAAACAAATGGTTTTCTTCCATATTTGAAAAATGAAACTCGTTTGAGGAAAGAAGAAATAGAAGAATCAGAAGATGATGAATGAGTTTTTGATAAATGATAAATTCTTCGTAAATTCTATTAATTGTTTCACACGAGAACAATATCGTTCGAACTTATTCTTACATCGAATAGAGAAGAAAATCATTAGAAATTAATTAGCAACATTAAAATTAAATAAAGAACTTCAGTATAAAGGCATTATAATCCTTTTCAATGGAAAGAAAATTTTCTTTACCAACGACTTGACTGAATAAAAGGAATAAACTAATTATTAAAGACTTATTAATAGACTTTTAATCATAATTTTCGAAAAATTCTGTTTCACCAATGAATTTTTAGGCTTTAAATAAAGAATATTAATATTTTTTTTTAAATATAATATAAAAAATATTAATATTTTTTTTTAAATATAATATATAATGAAATTAACTTTAATTAATTTTCCAGCTGACAGTTACGAACATTATCCTTTAAAAATTTAAAACATTTCATTTAGATCTAATTACTATAATCCTTTGAAAATTTATTTATAAGAGTAAACTATGTTGTGTCGTTCCTTCAGATATAATTAACGAGAATGATTAGAAACATAATTTTGTTTAACATCGTTAACAGTTTAAGAATTTGTCTTCGGTTAATTAGTAACTTCATTATTCTCTCTTGATAATTTTTTATATACATTTTATTATATTTTAGTTGCTAATTTGAGAATTAATAAATGAGAAATTGGTAATTATAATTAATTATTTCTTAAGTCTGGATGAAATGTTATTTAAGGTTTTAATCTACTTTTAAAATTTCTCTAACTTTCCAAAAAAAAACTCATTTTAACTCCAGTACAGATAATATTAAATCTAGTGTAAAATGGATGCGAATCCCTATTGCACAGAAGCTATTTTCTCTTGTATCCCAGGGGTGTACTCAACCCAACGAAATGTTTTCGATACGTTTATTGACGAAATTTTCTAACTAATCTACTCTAAATCTTTTCAAATTTTAACATAATACAATAAAAAAATAAATGTACTACAATATTTTATAATATTGCATCTGTACAGTCGACCCCCCTATAACACTGTTGATTTTTCCGTTTTATATGAATTCCATGTTGTACGAGTTACTTAGATTTTACAAATATGTGAGCTTTTCACAGCCCGGCACACGTATTTGTAAAATCTAAGTGACTCGTACAACATGGAATTCATATAAAACGGAAAAATCAACAGTGTTATGGGGGAAGGGGTCGACTGTATATTAAATAATCAGCAAGAAATTAAATATTGAAATAATAGAAGGATCGTTCTTAGATTTAAAAGACTAAATACTTACTGGAATTTTTGTTTTTTATAAACTGTTCCTATACCTGAATATTTTATTTATTTTTCATTAATAAACTTTTGATTTGATTAATAATATACAACAATACCTTTATGTGTTTCAATGTTTTATATATTTATAATTAAATAATTTTTGTATTAGATTTTGTATATATTTATTTAATTTATGAGCAAAATAAATGATTAGAAAAGAAGAAATTTCCTTAAAGAAAATACGTCGAGCGAATAATGAAATTAAATAAAGTTACAAACAGATCCGATTAGACACATCACATTCGAATTAATTAATAATTAGATAATAACAAAAAGTGTTTTGTGCATTTTTATAATTCGATTAGTTACATTAATTAATGCGATATAATTGTTAATTGAATTTTTCTATCGGTGCTTTTAATCATAGAAGAAAGTAAAGTTTACATTATTTTATATAATGAATACAGAATTGTCATTTATATTTAGCTTTTTTTTTCTTCTGTCGGTTTGTTTGTCTGTCCATTATCCGTCACGTCTATAATACACAACTTATATATTAATATAAACAAATGCAAATAAGTTAAAATGAATTCTGTAGAATGGAATTATCGTTGATACTTCATTTCCATAATTATCTGTAACATTTGTTTCCATTAAGTATATTTAATGCACGCACACTTTCGTATATCTCATTTACATATGATGAGACCGAAATTCATTTTCATCGCATTATAATAACATTTTCAATTAAAATTATAGAATAAATAATTATTAATTTAATATCCTTATTGAGAACAAAACGAAGGTTAATTGAGAAATATGATTTATTCATCCGAATGAGATTACAATATATACAATAAAATTTTTCTATATACAAATTCAATAATTGTTTACAATAATTTACATAACTACAACAGGCGTTAAATATTTTTCGGATTTTTCGAGAGGTGTTAGAATGATTTAGAAGCTTAAGAAAATCGAAATTCCATGAATAAAAATGACTTTTTGGTAATGGGGAATTTATTACAGCGGTGTTGGCTTCGTTTGTTTAGTATAAGAAAAGTAAGGTTTACTCCCGTTGATAGGTGACTTCAATTCTGTTTCCTTAATCCCATTGGTCAATTTTCCCCTTCCGTGAGAAGGACTCCACGTCACTGCGGTGCTAAAAGTCATCCGAGAACCTTCTATAAAAATAGAAAACAGTAAACACATGATCCACACGGATGGTGTTTCACAGAAGAAAACTTTTCTATTCTCTGAAGATAATAATACTCAAAGTTACTTACTTTATATACTGTGTTATAGAAAGATATAAAAATAAACAATAGTAGAATGGTTACAGCCGCGTATTGTTTTATTATTTTTTTTTAAATTAATTACAGTAGAGCGTCGATTATCCGAAAGTCAATCATCCGAAAGGATTCCAGTCGGCAAATTTAAATTTTCGCCAGTGCTGTGGCGCTGCAATCTTTGGCTATGTCTTGGGCTACTCAAATATTTTACGTTTTTGATACTAAATTAACTTCTGAAGTATAATTTTTTATTGTTTTTATATTTTTCAATATATTTATTTTGTTCGTACAAAATAAAAAAGTAATTTTTAACGATACAATAGTCTTCGTTAGATTTAACATCGACGAAAATTCAACGCGAAGCGACACACAACAGAGAAAAATGTCAAGATGAGATAAATTAATATATTTTTTCGTGCATAATCGGTTATCCGAAACATCGATCTTTCGAACCACCCCCGTCCCCAATTGATTCGGATAATCGACGCTCTACTGTATTACAATACACTTAAAATAATATGTAAATTAACTTTATAAATAGTGGAAACTCACGAGGACGTTTAAAATTCTTTACTCCATAATTACACTTCAATAATTTAAGGAAAGCCTGTCGAAAATTATTGTTGAATCCTCCGTATATAATAGGATTGAGAGCGCTGTTGGAATAGGCGGAAAACGTGGCGAAGTAATTGAAATTTACGAACCATTCGGGTAACTAAAATACGACGAAATCGTCTTTAGAATTATGATAATTATAAGAGTATTATTCATTCAAATCATATATTAGTGCATACGTTATACGTCTCATACAAAAATATTGGAATAAATAAAATTAATGATAACATTTACAGAAAATTGTTATCTCGGGAAGGTAAGAGAAAAATTGTTTTCAATCAATAAACAGAAATAGTAACGGAAACACGCGTGATAATACTTTAAATTGTGTGTAATTCACGTCACTACAGAAAAATATCAATATATTCGGAACATCTAGCATTTTTATCAAAATATCTAAATGTTTTTCCTTAAAAATAATGTAAATTTAGAACCACAAAATATATATTTTCGATAGGAAAAAAAAAAAATAATTTATTACAAATATCAATGAGGTTATTTACTATTAAAAATATTATTATGGCGACAGGGCATATTTTATTGCTATGTTATTGGTTAAATGTACGACTGAACTATAATAATTTATAATTCTTTACTCCTTTACATATTTGTTAGATTGATTTTTTAAAAAAAATGAACTTACAGGAGCATCGTTATGTCCGAATTGCGAGTAGAGGACGATGATTTGGAAAGGCATCCAACAGAGAACGAACACCACCAGAACCATACAAACCATTTTGATCACCTGAAAACAAATGATTAGAAGTAATTAATATACACTTACTAATTAAAATCACATATTGTAAATATACTTTTATTTATTTAGAGAAAATATAATTGGAAATTTTTACTTTCGATAATGTTTTTCTTTTACAGAAAATATCTTTATATTTTAAATAAAATTAATTAATTAAATAATTAAATGAATCGAAGGGAATCTTAAAAGCTCTTTTGGCATAAAGACGAAGAAATTTCTAAATTGCCATATTAAAGTATTGATTTTTTTCTTCTTCTTCTTCTTCTTCAGCTAGTTCTTTCATCTCTTCGAATTCGTTAAATAGACATACATTAGTAAAATTAAACCATTAAATGACAGGGGAATTACTCGTAAATTTTAATTAATAAATTATCCACTGGATTTTTTTTAAATCTTTAATGTTTTCTTTACAATACGAGAACGTCGCCATTTTCGAGAAAGAAGATTTAAATAATTTGACGAATTCGATAATAGAAAATGTAGCGAGAGTAAAAATTACTTTGTTAAAATATGAATACAGAATAATTATTTCGTATCAGACGAAGAAATTTAACGTCTTCAAACAGGAAATAACTGAAACATTAATGTCTTTAACACATAAAACAAGTTTACTACGAAGGAATATCGTAACAAAACTAAGGATTTAGTAAACGAGACACGTTTCGGTAACGGGTCATTTTGAAAATATTTTAGTTTTATCAATTTAAAAGTAAAGCACGTCCTGTTAGACGACGTACCATCTGGATTCTTCTATTGTAAAATCGAATGGCATTGTCATTATTCCATTAACTTATATGTAATATTGACACGTGATATATATAAACGTTTACATAAATTAGTTGCTTTTCTATGTTACGAACGATAAATTAACTACTTATTTTACTTATCTATCAAAGCAAATAAAGGAATAGTTAATTTATAATATTATTATGAAAACGCTAAGTTACCTCGCTCTTAACACAAAGGTTTATTATCACTTTAATAATAAAATTGTTTAAATCAAAAATCTTTAAATAATATATTCTTATTATTTAAAAAAAAATCAAGCAAAAACATTAAATATTCGGTTAGTGTATTTGCTTGTAATCTGGTGTCTATAGACACAAAATATTAGAGAATAGTGGTTTCATAACAGTAACAACAAGTTTCATATAATATTTATTTTATACTGAAAAAAAATAATAATTATGGCATTGAAGCGAAGATTAAAATTTCAAATATAGAATGAAATAAAGTAAAAGTAATGTGGAGAATAAGGAATGGCTTTTATTTTATTCAATAAGTCGAAAATTATATTTTGTTTGTCGTCTTCCGGAAATAAGATTTCGAAAGCAATTTCTGTATGGAAATTAAGCGAAAATGTTTCATTCAGTAAAGAATATATTTACGGTTAGAATCGAATTTCGTCTTCTGTATTCACTCACGTGTTCTTAGAAAATATGTTACACGAGAAATGATGCTTCAGCTGACGTATTTTCTCACGCTTTAGCTGAAAGTTTCTCTCTTTTTTTTTATCTCAGAAATTTCCTTTGTTTAACGTAGACTGAAAGAGTTTTAAAAAAGAAAATCTCTGAAAATAGATGAGAATTTATATTCAACAGGATGAAGTGTTGAGGAAAAGATATATCTTATAGAAATTACTTTGTGGGGGAGCATTGGAAATTTTACTAGAAACTATAATATATAGTGTCTTAATTTTAAAAAATTCTAAATTTTAACAATTTTTATTAGAATTTATCTCATAACAAACAAATAATTTCATAGGTTTGAAAGGGTTAAAGTCGTTAATGGAAGTTTTCTGAGCTCAGATGATTGAGTTGAAGAGGATTCAGATATTGGATAAGGCCATTATTATCACGATTTTCGGTACATTCTTAGTGATATTACTCTAAAACTTCATTCAAATTTCAGAAGAGTTTGTATAGAAACGTATCTAGGAATGAAGAATTTTATATTTGATAATAGTCGGGTTTCATCTATTTGGAAAACGGAACAATAGTTCCGTAATAGGAAACTATTGACTCGCCTCCTTTTATCCAGTTAGCGACTTTCTTAAAACTTCAATAACGAGACATTTAAAGTTAGCGTGGAAAGATGAAATTCCTTTCTCGTTAAAAGATAACACATAACCTAGTTATAAGCAAGAGCAATTAATTGTAAGAATATATTCTCGTTTCAAACGTCGAGATACATAAGCGGATAGACTGGAATTAATTAATCGAATAAATTAAGAATGGTCAAATACTTTATTCTATTCTTACCTTTTTCTTAGCGTTATGTTGAACAGTCATGTTAGCCAAGCTCCTCTCTCCCGGAACTTTGTTCATCCACAGTCTCCAGACGATGAGGGAATAGGAAGTACTCATGATGACGATTGGTAAAAAGAAAAGAGCCACTGTGACGAAAGTATAATAGATCTTCTTTCCTCTGACCATCTTGACGCATCTGCCAAATTCTTCAGAGTAAATGACTTCGTGGGGCCAAACATCAGAGCATTGTATCTCCAAGAAGTCGTTCCACTGAAACGAGGATGGAATCCTGTTTTATAAACAGGGCGCGTAGTTATCACGAATTATCTTTAGTTTGGAATCGTCACAGGGAACAATATCATTGTTCATTACACTGACCTGTCTCTCCACGTGTGTCCTGAAAATGGGAAAGGGAATGGCGGCCATCATGGAGACTATCCAGATGACTGCGATGACGGCTCCCGTCCGCTGTTTGGTGATTCGAACGTGAAGTGGAAACATGATGGCGATGAATCGGTCGCAGGAAATGGCGGAAAGAGTCAACACACTGGCAGTCAGACACGTCACTAAAATGCCATGTATATATATATTTCATTTATAAATTAAAATCATTGAACATAAAAATAAAAAGAAATTATAATATATTTGGAAACATCATCGATAAACTTATAATTCTGTGTATATATTGTCTACTTGCACCTTGTTTATTAATAAGGCATATTATACTGATCAGCAGAGAGAGAAAAACTTAGTCTAAAGTCAAAACAAAAAAGTAAACAAGACAATATATATACAGAAATGTAAAACAGTAAAGAAATAGACGTAAAAAGAATTACAAACAATTATTTCGATGTTTCATTTATTTCACATAAACGAATTATGTTGATAAACAATATTTTAATGTTTACAATAATCTGAAAATTTTATCTAGATGTCAGACAACACATTTATTCTTATTACAAACGATTTTGTATATAATAAAATATTTAATATTTATCTTATAAACAAATTGCGCAAAAAAAATTCGAAGAAGTATCCTCTTAAACTACACTCCTCAAAAGTAAATTCGTAACACCACGAAGGAATGCGCTTAACCACGTGCAAATTGCAAGGCCGGTAGAGGTGACAGAGATATGCAAATGGTTAAGTTTGCGTACGAATCATTTGGTACTCAGTTTCGGATTATAAAGATCATCAGCCGGCTCGAGCCGTAAATGGTTTATGTCAGCAAAACTCTCGAATAAGCATAGAAAATGCCTCGGACACGGCAGCAAGCTGAATAACCACCATTTAACGGCTGGGGAACGAGACAGTATGCTGGAGCTGCGCGATTTCGATTTGTCGATGCACTCAGTTGTCACGCGTGTTTGGCACTATCTGAGAACTTTCCAGCGTGCAGTAACATCTGCGAACATGTCGAAGAGTGAATGGATCACACCTGCTCGTGAGACCGGCAGATTCGTCGAATGGCCTGTCGCTGTCAACGAGTACATCTGTGTCTACCCAACGATTCGTAACAGGCTGCATGAAGGCCTGTTGCAAGCACGGCAACCACCAACCGGAATTTTTTTTTTTTTTTTTTTTTTTTTTTTTTTTTTATTAAAAGAAGAGGGGAGTCCTCCAGGTATCACTCAAAGGTATAACCTGGAGGTTGGAAAAGTTCGCTCTCCCTCTTCCTTCCGAACTTTTCCAACCTCCACCAACCGGAATGCCATTAATCGCTCCACACAGGGCTGCACGCCTGGCGTGGTATTGTCGTCTCGCAACTGGACCACTGAATGGTATCGGGTATTGATTACGAATGAATCCCGCTTTTGTCTTTGGAGGAATGACGGCCGTGGATGGGTGTGACGGTTTCACGAGTAACGCCATGTGCCAGCCCTTTCGCCGAGTGTCATACCGGACCCACACCGGACATCATGGAGGCATCATTCGATCAGCGGACAGCAGTGGTGCACATTTCCGGTACTCGAACCAATATGTCACATGAACTGTGGGGCCTGTGGTTCGGCCATTGGAGCAGGCCGCAAGTGACACGATGTTCCATCAAGATAAAGCACGACCGCGCATCACGCAGCAAACTCTCACCCAGCTTGATAGGAATTTACATACTTCTCTGACCGGCAGCCTCGCTGGTTCTCTCCCATCGAACATCTATGGGACTTCGTCCGACGTGAGGTGCAGTGCGGACACCACCGCCACATACCATAGACGACATTCGCGCCGCAGTGGATGCGGCTTGGCACAGAATACTCCAGCAACCATTAATTGCCTCATTGATAGTATGTCTCGCCGTATAACTTTCTGTATAGCTGCCAGTAGGTACCATATTCGTTACTGAATACACAGGTGGCTGTTTCATATTTTTTTTTTTTTTTGGTGTTTTAACCATTTACATATGTCTCTCAACTCTACTGATCCTGTAATGGGCATGTGGATACGCACATTCCTTCGTGGTGTTGCTATTTCACTTTTGAGGAGCGTATAGTTTTTTTATTTTGCTTATTTCTGTTTTATAAAATGTAAGATTTATTATCATCATGATCAAATTTTACTCCATTCTTTCGCCGTTATATTGTATGATCTTGTTATACGAAGGGGTTGCACGTCAGCGAGTCCCGAATAAAACGAAATTCCGCATAAATCTGTGCTTCATCCAGATCGTTTCCTAGACATTTATGCAATAATTTACAATTAACAGGGAAACACTAAAGTAAAACGTTTTACATTTATGTTTAACACTACAATGAATGACGTTTTAATCCGGTATTTCCGAATATAGAGCCAACATTTATCGTACCGTATCGAGTACAATAGTTCAGAAAAATACATGCAAACCACAGTGAGTAGCATTTGGTATTCACTGTGGTTTGCAGTTTTCACGTTTCTCTTTGAATTTAACGACCGAGAAACGTTAAGAAATCAATTTTAATTATATAACGGAGTACAACAGAAAGGATTTCTGCAACAATGACCATAACTGTCTAAAACCCATTATTGCCACGTCTCGTACTCCATACAAATATTTTCAGATTAAAGAGATTTGGCACTGATGACATTACTTTAAAAATCGTATTTTTTTATGTAAAGTTCATCACAATACCTATTTTCTTTTCCCTTAAACACACAGACGATAAAACAAAAATCCGAAAATATATTTGGTGGAAATTTTTGTAATTTTGAAGAGATAAAATACTTATTTCGCTGATACTACTACAAAACTTTTTACCGCAAATTTATAATATTTTATCATATTTTAGATAGGAAAAAAACAAGATAATATTTATTGTTAAACATATTCAAAAGCCATTTATCATTCGTACAACTTTTTAATATAGAGAAACTCTAGCATTAATGTTGAATTTGATTATTTGTATAATTATTTTACTCGAAAAAAGTTCTGTTGTTTTATTGCAACAACAGAAACATTTCTTGCAATAACGTTAGAAAATGGAAGCAATTATACTTTATCATTTTAAATGCGTTGCTATTAATAAAGAGTTTTTTTTCCAGTTAAACAAAGATTTGTTACAACAGAAAAAAGAAACGAAAAAAAAACACGAACAACAGATGTTGTAGTTTGATTTATCCCTTACTTTTCATCATAAAATACTTCTATCATCATAATCTAACCTTTATCTTATACAAGTAATTACTAAATGATAAAGTAACTCCGTTAAATTAGTCGTATTATAGTAAATGTAATTGATACGATAAGATATAATGAGATTTTAATTGTTTACTTTATTTAATTAATAATGAAAGTTAAAAATTCTTAATTTAGATTTATGGAAATTTGCTTGGAGAGAATTAAACAAGACTCACCCGCGGCATTTTCTCATTAAGATCGTCCAACTTTTTAATAAACGAAAAAAGTCTAATCACTTTTAATATTCTATATTTTCTCTCGTTTTATTTAAACGAGGAAGAAAACTGACGTTCGTTTCTTTTTTCTATAAAATATATCGATCAAATCTAAATTATGTCAGACGAAACTATAATTACTTTCATAAAAATCACTTTTTACTCTCTCGACTGTTATATATAATAGAGGGAAAGTATGACGATGACCCCCCTCAAGATTTTTACATTTTAGGATTCAGGAGACTCGAGAAATGAAAAAAGCTAGGGAATTTTTCTCTATGTATTGATGTTTATGTTTGTGTAAGGGAGCCTTCTCCTTCTCAGTATATACAAATTGTTTTGCAAGTGTCTACCATTGTATTTCCAAGTGCTATCCAACAGCTCCCCTTTGCGGCCCATGTCCTTTTTTTTCCACTTTCAAACTTCCAACCCCACCCTCCTAACTTTTCCTCAAATCACTCTCCCTCCTCTCTTCACCCATCTTTCTTATCTTTTCTTTCACATGTATGTATGTATGTTTGTGTAAGGGACCCGATTTGAAACTTAATAACACCCTTGTGCCTTTTGTCAAATCTTGAGGAATTAAAAGGTGTCTTATGTAAAGGTATATGCATACTTTTTGACATAATTAAAGAATCTATTGATTAGTTTATCACTGTTTTTTTTGTATGAAAAACATGCATTACTAAAACAAATTGATTGGATATTATCGAATGGAAGAAAATCTTATGTTCTTCCAAAACCAGGGGAATAAATTAAGTTTCTCTAAACAGATGAAAGATTGATTATAATTGAATAAAAAAAATTGATATGAGATAATACATTTGGTAGTCAGAAAGATAAGAATGAAAAGAAAATAAGATTTCTTATCTACTTACCTTTAAGTAACTACGCTATGATAAGAAGCAACTAAAGAGATAAACAAACAAGAATAAATAATAGCCTAATAAAAGGATATAATCTGGTCATAAAGATTGTTTTTTTTTTCTGTTAGGTATAATCGAGCAGAAAATTGAAAAAATAAATATATAATAATTCAAGAAAAAATTACATGATAATTGTATTATACAGTAAATAATACTATTTATCTTAGATAAGTTTTCAAGTTCATAATATCTGACGAACATGCTTATTCAGCTTATACGTTTTACACATTCGTTATTTTACGAGGAGACTTTGAAATAAATTATTTATCGCATCATAATTTTATATGAAAATCCTTAATTTAACGATAATCAAGAACATAAAACCGAATTAATTCCTTAAATTTAGTAAACCCTACCTTTCAATATGAACATTATTTATGGACAGTCCCTAAGGGAGATTCTTAAGTATGATTCTTACCATTCTCACGACAAAATTTTAAATATAATGTTTTTTTTTTCGAAATATAAAGTCAAATTGAGAGATAAAATAAGCTTAAGAAGCTGATAAGATGTATTTTGGTACCAAAGTTCAATAGAAACAATTATAAATTATCAACTCGTTGATATATTTGCGAAACACTTCAAGTTATATCGCTAAAAAAAACATTTTATTTAAGTTAAATTAAATTTTCTTAAATATTCCTGCAAAATATTTACGAAATATTGCTGTTGATAATTAAATTATTATAATTAATTTATCGAGAAAGTTTATTTAGAAAGAGAGAGAGGAGTAAAGTGGATAGAACTTACTCTGGGCGAATGGATTGAAAATGCACATGAAAGGTCCCAGCACGTAAATAGGTTCGGTCAGATCGTTGCACAGATGGACCCACATGCAAGTCAGACAGATCAACAGGTCGGCCACTGCCAAATTGACCAGATAAACATTGATGGTGGTGCGCATTGAGTTATTAAGACCCACTGCAAAGACGATGCCCAGATTGCCCACTACTGTGGCACACATTAATAACAGGTAACTCACGATTTTGGCGTATTCCTTCCAAGTCAACTCGCGAAAAGAAGTGTCGCTGGGAAATTCTATAGAAGAGAAATTCAAGAAGAGCCACTCAGAATCGTTACACGTTCTATCCTCCATAGTTTACTAGGTATGTGGACTAAACGAGAATTGAACACTCGACTGGCTCGTGGGCCAGCGAATGTAGTGGTCGTTTCGGTGATCTGTTTATAAACGAGGTATGTCACGCGCACACCTCTTTCCGTGCGATTTTTCTATTGGTCGTTCGATCGATGACGTAATTCAGACTTTCTACAAACCGGCGTATCGATCTCGTTAGACTTGCTTCTCTTCCTATGTTTGTAATTGTCACAATTAATAGGTAAATTTATTAGTTATTTTTTTACATAAAAAGTAATAGTGAAATTGAATTTATTTACCGTAATATTAATAAACCCATTGAATATTTAAAAAAAAACCTTTAGTTTCTCGTAGTTTCAAACGATTTTAATGACTTTTGAAGTCGTTTTATAAATACAATTTTTCGAGAATTTTTGAAAAAAGTAAATTTTTTTTCTGTTAAATAACGAAAAAGAAAAATGAAAAATAGAGAAATTCGAATGTGTTGACCTCGATTCTATTAAATGACTTCCTATCAATTATTAAGAGAAGACGTCAAGAGAATAGTGAACCAAGCACAATTTATTAAAGAATTTAACTATTAAAGATAAACTTTCATTTTTTTAAGGGTCTACATTTGTATTTTGGGGAAAATTTATTTTTTGGGAGTTGTCACGCTTCTCAACTGACATAACACAACGTTCTCTATATCTTTGTAGGTTATAATCATAATAAATGTAGCCATGAGTTTAATATTGCTTCCGTGTGAGAGAAGAAGAACCCAACAAGCATCCCATTACCCTGATTTTGAGGTAAAAGATGATACACCACACAGACTGAGTAAAGCGGAATTGAGTGATCTCATTCGAGGCCTAGACTTGTCAAAGCAGAAGGCGGAACTTCTAGGGTCAAGACTAGAGAAATGGAATCTTCTTCAAAGTGATGTCAGGTCTCACAGTACAGAAAACGTCAGAGGAATCTGCTTCCTTTTTTTGAGAAGAAAAAGGTTGCAGAATCTGGTTGTTTGCTGCGACGTTAATGGCTTGATGAAATGTTTGATATGAAACCATGATCCAAGTGAATGGAGGCTATTCATAGATTCCTCCAAGCTTAGTTTGAAAGCTGTATTACTTCACAACGGCAACCGTCTTCCTTCTATTCCTGTTCACATGGCGAGGATTTATGAAAACATAACAGCCCTCCTCGACTCAATCAAATATGCTGAACTGTGTTCAAATATGTTATCCGTGGCGATCTAAAAGTCCTCGCTGTATTCTTAGGAATGCAACTGGGGTACACTAAATACTGTTGCTTTTTATGTATGTGGGATAGCAGGGATAGGAAATCACATTCAAGAGGACTGGCCTATAAGAAATCTTGACTCGACCCAAACGTTGTTCTTCTTCCACCCCTTCATATCAAGCTGGGTTTATTGAAAACTTTTGTCGAAGGTATGAACCAGAGGACAGGCATTTAAGTACTTAAGAGACAACTTTCCTAGATTGAGTGATGCAAAGGTTAACGAAGGTATTTTTGTTAGGCCACACAAAATTTGACAACTCATAAAGGATCCTACGTTTGACCGAGTTTTGGAGGGAAAAGAAAAGGAAGCAAACAACAAAAGAGCATGATAGCTACACTCAGTTGAGTTGATGACAGTACTTCTGGAAAAATACCATCACCTCGGATGCAACGTCCCTTAAAATCCCAGTACTCCCACCAAGACTTTTTCCTCCTGGTTGTGGAGCTTTCAGTGATGAATATGGAGAAATATTCCACCAGGATATTTCTGTAATGGAACAAAGATATCAGGGCCGTTGGAATGAAGCAATGCTTTTGGATTACTTCTGGTCTGTGTATAGGGATGCACTTGAACTCACTTACAAGAGGGAAGCCAAAAGAAAACGATCTCATGAAGTCACCACATGATTCTCTTCACACCGAACCACCTGCCAGGTATTCTTCCATCAATTTAGAACTCTTAGAATGTAACTGTAATTAAAAAAATAATTCTGCCATACTGCCATATATTGCATATCAGAGAAACTAGAGCTAATAAAAAATTGTCTTTGTCATATTCGATTTTCTCACCCCAAAATTAGTAATATTTCACTCATAAAATAAAGGAAACATTAAAACATTTTTAAAAAGTGTTTTCCCCTAAAAGGTGTTAGATAGACTCTATTGTTAAAGGAAAAGTATGATTTACAGGGGCAAACCACTACTAATTTGAGGTGGAGAGCATATATTTTACCTCGTAAATTAAATTAATTAAAAATTGCAGCCTGGCATTGTTATCTTTCTTTATAAAACGTTCCTTTTATAGAACAAAATCGTGGATTAAATTGTCAAAATTTATCTTTATTTATGATATTCTTACGTGAATACTATTAATGAAGACAGTTTAAGACAATCCTAAGCATACCCAATAGGAATATCATTAATGCAGTGGTTTGAACTGCAAACTTCTTTTACGGGTGGCACAATATATTAAAAAATAATTAAAAACATTAACCGTTCATTATTTTTAATATATTTTGTATATTTTTATATAAAAAGTGTAGAATTTTGTTTATAAATTAAACTGTGTACTGTTATAAATTGTGAACGCATGTTGAAAACATTGAGAACCACTATATTACACTATTGTTATGGGTAATATATGGTGTTGTCATTTAAAAATTTCATAAAGTTTTATAAAATAAATATATAATTTGTAAATTATTATAAATAGAAAACAGAAACCTATTTTTAGTTTTCCGACTGATCCAGCCTTAAAGAGGGTTTTTTTGTATGTATGGATGTTTGTATGTGTATGAGGGGGCACAATTTTATTCACTTTGTTTGAAGCTTAATTAATTAATAACTGCTGTGCTTTTTTGTCGAAAATTTCTGAGATTTTGCAGGGAGATTTATTAGGGGAATTGATGCTATTAAATTTTGATGGTTAATAGTCGACAGAGTAGGGAGATAAAGGGGAGGATCGTGTGTCATATCTCGAGTAGGGTTAGACTTATTGACAATTTTATTCGTTATTAGCATTTACACTTTTTAATGTCGTCTTTTATATTTTATGTTATTTTTCAACAAGTTATAGAAATGAGTTAAATGAATTCTTTTAACCCCCTTTCATATATATACAAAAGTAGTGTTTTGTACAGTACTTTATTAGTAAAGTTTCGACGACTTTTTATCTTTTCTATAATGATTAACATGCAATTTTCTTGTGAGCTTTTTTTTGAAGAGAGAATCGATGGAAGAAAAAAATCATTTTGATTTTTGTAAAACTTTTCACAGCAAACAAAAGTGCGGTTAGAATACTTTCAAAAAGAAAATCTTTTAAGGATAAAGTCTTAAAGATTTAACGATTAAAAGAGTCTTCGAAGCTGTACTTTGATTTTCTTTCAATTTTGAACGAACTTCCAACTTGTTCTTTGTAAAATTTACAAATTGAAGTTACTTAATGAGAATTTTTAGATGTAATGAGGCAACCAGTATTTTGAAAAGATTCGCCTCGAAGCTGTCTTCTCTATTTCGTAATATAATAAGTGTAAAATATCATTTAAACATGTTTCTTATCGATCGTTTTTTTTATTATTTGAAGCGAGAAATTAGAAATTCAAAGCATCCAATGAGAATTTGCAAGATTGCATTTTCATAGAGTTAAATGACAAAAAACAAAATCTAAATTAATGTCGCGACTTTAAGTTCGTATGTATCTATTAATATGGCAAGAAAATATATTCCAATTGCAAATTTTTACGAACTGAGATGCTTTCCTCTCATCAAAACTGGTATTTTATATGCTAATGTAGTTATTTAAGGAGAACGAGTTGTGTATTGAATAGGGCTTTTTATTTAAAAAAAAAATCTTGAAAAGCGTTAAAATTAAAATCCTAGTGAATAGTTGAAAAAGTAAAATAATCAAACTGTCATTTAAAATCGTCGTATAAACTTTCTAAATTTGTTTTTCAAAAACTCTTTTGCAGAAAGTGCGAAAACTCAGGAAAAATACTATCGACGATAAATTACTAGAAAAAGTTTAAATTAGATTTTTTAAACATGTGAGTCTCGATTCTAATAACTGAAGAATAAATTATAGAAATATGCGTAATTATAAAGAGAATAAGAGAATAAATCTAGTGTTAAATCTACTAATTAACTATTTATTTGGCATATTAATATTCGTTTTTACATAGGGTAGCTCTGACTGGATGTTTAAGATTTGTCAGTACTAGGGATGAAGAATCATGTTATTGTAAGATTTCTTGGTTTCAATTAATAGAGGAAACAAACGAATTATCCAGCAGTAATACGTGAACATACTTCTAGTCCCTCTCAGATTTTTGGTTTTGTTTTATTTGTATACTGCAACGAGACAGGTGGGAATCTGAGGAGGGGGATGCCTCCAAGGTGGTATTTTAGGGGAAACTGACTCCTATAGGTGTTACTAACGTGAAGAAAATCCGAAAAATTCCACGTGGTCAGTCCGTTTGCCAGACACAAACCCATTACCATCTACTAGTGTACAGTAGTTTTGTCCACTCGGCCAGTGGTGTGCCTCAGTCCCTCTCAGATTCCTCAAACATTCTCAAAACTGTTTATCACTAAGTAAATTTAAATAACCATTTCTTACAGTTAATTTAATTATTACGCATTGTATACATTTAAGCAGAAATCAATTTATTTTAAATGATTGATTCCCTGTGTAAAATTTCTTTTCAATTTTCAGTAAAGTTGTGAAGAAACATCCAAATTTTGATTTTTAAATTAACAACTTGAATATTATTTACAAATAGAATTATACGAAACGTCGTATGAAATTTGTATGTCATCATTTGGGATTGTAAAAAATATTCCCAATGCTTTATAAATAGAAATGAAACAAGTATAGAGAAAGGAGAGTTTACCTGCAAAATTCCTGTTGTAAAATTAAAATCAGGATATTTAATATAGTTAAAGAATTTAAGAAAAAGATATCTTGTTTAGTTTCTTTTATTGATTTTATAGAAACATTAAAATTGGAATTGAAATTTTTTTAAAAAAATAAGAACTGAATCGTATAC